ACCACCTATTCCATACACTTGCAACATCTGCCACATTGCTCCCCTATCCACTCTATCATATGCCTTTTCTAAATCCATAAATGCAATAAAAACTTTCATACCTTTATCTAAATACTGCTCACATATATGCTTCAATGTAAACACTTGATCTACACATCCCCTACCCATTCTAAAACCTCCTTGCTCATCCACAATTCTACATTCTGTCTCGTCTCTAATTCTTTCAATAATAACCCTACCGTACACTTTTCCTGGTATACTCAGTAAACTTATTCCTCTATAATTTTTACGATCTCTTTTGTCCCCATTCCCTTTATATAAAGGGACTATACACGCTCTCCGCCAATCCTTAGGTACCTTCCCCTCTTTCATACATTTATTAAACAAAAATACCAACCACTCCATCACTATATCCCCCCCTGCTTTTAACATTTCTGTCATGATCCCATCAGTTCCAGCTGCTTTACTCCCTTTCATTCTACGTAATGCCTCATGCACCTCCCCCACACTCACATCCTGCTCTTCTTCACTCCTAAAAGATGATATACCTCCCTGGCCAGTGCATGAAATTACCACCTCCCTTTCTTCCTCAACATTTAAAAGTTCCTCAAAATATTCTTGCCATCTACCCAAAACCTCCATCTCCTCATCTACTAACTCCCCTTCTCTGTTTTTAACTGACAAATCCATTTGTTCCCTAGGCTTTCTTAACTTGTTTAACTTACTCCAAATTTTTTTCTTATTTTTATTAAAATTCCTTGACAGTACCTCTCCCACTCTATCATCTGCTCTCCTTTTGCACTCTCCCATCACTCTCTTCACCTTTCTTTTAATCTCCATATACTCTACTCTTCTTATAACACTTCTGCTTTGTAAATACCTCTCATAAGCTACCTTTTTCTCTTTTATCACACCCTTTACTTCATCATTCCACCAATTACTCCTCTTTCCTCCTGCACCCACCCTCCTATAACCACAAACTTCTGCCCCACATTCTAATACTGCATTTTTAAAACTATTCCAACCCTCTTCAACCCCCCCACTACTCATACTTGCACCAGCCCACCTTTCTGCAAATAGTTGCTTATATCTCACCCGAACTTCCTCCTCCCTTAGTTCATACACTTTCACCTCCCTCTTACTTGTTGATGCCATTTTCCTCTTATCCCATCTACCTCTTACTCTAACTGTAGCTACAACTAGATAATGATCCGATATATCAGTTGCCCCTCTATAAACGTGCACATCCTGGAGCCTACCCAACAACCTTTTATCCACCTGATATCTACTGCAAAAAGGTTGAAAAATCCATGGACCACAAATAGTGACACTGTGTTCTCTAATTGTGCCTCAGGACCTACACTTTTCTTTATCAATATATTAATGGCATACAATACAGTCATACCCCATTTTATGCCATTTTGGCTTACATCAACTTTGCCTTTACACCACTTTTCTAGAGTAAATTAAAGTTCAGTGAATGTCATTATGTCAGATGTTACATCACTCAGCAACGTCACCTACGTAATAATAAAAGTGTGTGAAATGAATAAATTTTTCCTAAAAAATAATTTAAAATAAATAAAATGCAAAAATTAACAGTAAAAGATAAAAGCTAAAAAAGAAATTCGAAAATACAATAAACACTCATTTAAAACATAAAAAAAATGTATACATATACAGTGGACCCTCGTTTTTCATAATTAATCCATTCCAGAAAGTGTGACTAATGGTGAAATTGACGATTTGCGAAACCATTTTCCCCCATAAGAAATAATGTAAATCCAATTAATCCGTTTCAGACCAAAAGTATTAACAAAAAAATATTTTTTTTTACATGAAATATAGATTTACATACACAGAAAACAATGAGACATGAAGAATAAAACAATAATAACATCACACTTACCTTTATTGAAGACTCTTGTTGGTGTATGAATAAAATATGTCATTACATATGTTAGGAATTGTGGCGGTGGCAGGGGAATGTCTGGAGGCAAGGCAAGATAGTCCTTCACTATGACACTAACATCAATCTACGGCTTATTTATGTATCACAATTCATCTAATATGACATAACAAACAATATTAATAACATAGAAACATGATATACTCTAAAATGAATAGAAAATGTCATTACGTATGTCACAAGTGGTGGTGTGTTTTGTTGTTGGGTTAGAGAGGCCACTGAGAGCAGAAGCCATACATAGTGGTGGTGGCGGCGGCGGTGTTATCAGTAGCCCTATACAGTGGAACCTCAAATATCGAACTTTCTTTGGTCCAGAAGGCTGTTTGAGTGCCTTTACCGAATGAATTTATTCCCATGAGGAATAATGTAAATTAGGTTAGTCCATTTCAGACCCTCAAAAATACACTTATAAAAGCACTTACAAAAATATACTTACATAATTGGTTGTGTTGGGAGCAGTTCGATTTTTGAGGTTCCACTGTATACAGTGGAACCCTGAGTTTCATATGCCCTGACTATTATACGCTTTGAGTTTAGAACTGTTTTTTCAGCTCAATTTTGTCCCGAGTTATGCACTGCGCCCCGTGTTTCGTCCTGCGTACCAGAACTGTCTGCCTGCCCCCATAGTTGTGAATCAGTGTGGCTTTGTTTCTCCTCGAATGAATATAGACATTTTCATTAATCCATCTATTATATTATCTTCAAAATTATATAAGAAACAAGTTACATAGTATATATAAAAACATGCAATGTTTATATGCGATGTACGTTTAATAATAATTACTCTTGGGCACATTAAATGTCTTACTTTTGGTTAATATAGATATTTTCACTAATGCATCTATGATTGGCTGTGTAGTATAATAATATGGCTGTGTAGTGTAGCCCAGGGAGGCTACATACATGTACCTACATCAACAGGCTACCTACACTGAATTCCTACAAATAAATGCTACTCACCTCTCACCCTACATTAAGACTACAAATATTTTAAGGTAAGTAATGAATGTACTGTAGCAGTAAAAGACAAAGAAGGGAAATAACACTAGAGGGCTTTGATACCTGAAGTCCTTATGGAGGGGGATTCTCAACTCCCTGGAATGGATTAATTGTATTTACATTAATTCTTATGGGAAATACTGTATCGACTTTAGGACGTTTCGGCTTTAGTACTAGCTCCTGAAATGGATTAAGTATGAAACTCAGGGTTCCAATGTAACTCCAACAACATTGGAAGAGTTAGGTTCATGCTGTCCTTTTTCTATCGATTAATCGCTTAACTTACTTGCTACACTGTTAATGCTACACTTTATCGCTGGCTGGTACTATAGCCTTTATTAACTCGTGCTACTTTAGTATTGTACATATCGTAGAATCACTGAAGAAGGTACATTCTCCCCTCACTCTTCCACCTCCACTTTATCACTTTACTACGAGTACTTTCTTGAATTCTATTGTATTTCTCAACTTCTTTACCAAAGGTCTGGCATTAGGAACTTTCTTTGGGGCCATAGTGGCTTATTTAGCAGATTTTTTTTTTTTTTTTTCAACAAGTCGGCCGTCTCCCACCGAGGCAGGGTGACCCAAAAAAGAAAGAAAATCCCCAAAAAGAAAATACTTTCATCATCATTCAACACTTTCACCACACTCACACATTATTAGCAGATGCAAGCACTAAAATGAATAGAATATTAAAAAACATATCGTATGAACATGTGGGATCATCCTCACTCGCTGATAAACAATGGCACACTGGCTGTGAATGGAGTGTGGGGCCACTTGGGGCTGTGCATACGCATCTGGGATGAACGACTATTTGTAGGTCAAATGACGATTCACAAGTCAATATTTTGACAAAAAAAAATTTGATTTTCTAAAATTATGACCTCTGATGCTTACAAAAAACGAGGATCCACTGTACGTAGTTCTGCTGTCTTGTTGCATGGCGGCATTGCTGTTGGCTCTCATTCAAAACAAAGGTGATGCCATGTGCATTTTTGTCCATGCTGTAATCGTATGCTTGTATATGTTTTGGTAGAATTACCGACAATATGTAAAGTAAAAGGACACAAGTGCAACTAATGTGACATTTTATTGTGGCAACGTAACGGCTTGACAAAGCTCCTGGAGAGCGAAACGTTGCCACAATAAAATGTCACATTAGTTGCACTTGTGTCTTTTTACTTTACAAATCATGTGCTTGTTTTGCCTTTCACTGTTATCTTTGTGATTATTCCTTTACTGTGTCTGTGTTAGCCATGGGTCCTAAGAAGGATAGTGCTAGTGATTACAAGTGGAAAGTAAGTTAAATATGATTAAAAGATATGAAAATGGTGAAAAAGTGTCGGTGATAGTGCATGCCTTAGGGTTGCCTTAGGTGTTCTTTTCATACTTAAGGCATTTTTTAAGGCAAATCACAAGGTAAATAATATAATTTTTTTAACTGTGTTCATTATTCTTTAAAAAATATGAATAAAATATGTTTTCAGTGTTCTTTAAGGTTTAGCAATAGTTATATTCTTTCGCAAGTTATTTATGCTAGTTTCACAGTGTTTGTCGTCATTTTAAGGCATTACGTCCGGTTTACGTCAAAAATCAGGTTACGTCACAGCTCTTGGAACCAATTAATAATGTAGGGTGGGGTATGACTGTACTGACAAGTAAATGAGTATGACCCATGTGCAACGGCTGGAAATCTTTATTGTTGAAATGTTTTGCCTGCTCTGCAGGCTTCTTCAGTCAAATACAGATGTTACTAAATACTAGAGACAGAAGAAGCAGTGGTGAAGTCAAGATGAGGTGATTAATCCCTCAGCTTTGAAGGAGTAATTTTGAGGTAGTCGGTCCCTCAGCTTTGAGAAGGGTTCAGCTCCCCAATCTTGTTCAAAGTGAAAGTGAAGAATGAAAATGAGGCCATTATGCCAGAGCACATGTGTCTTACTTATTTACATGTGCTTTTCACTTGGTTTACTCTACACTTCCTCCCAAATCTCTTGCTCCAATAAATAAATAAATTACAGCATGAACTCACTCTCTCTGAGCTGTGATCTCTCGAAGCGGTGATGGAGAATGTGTGGTTCCTCCTGTTGTGCTAGATTCGAAGTGGAGTCTAAGTAACGTTACAGCCGACCCCAAGCCACGGACAACAATACCTGTCTCGCCCTCCAGATCAAAATACTGACGATAACTGATGATAAGAAGGTAAAAAGAGACCATTACAATTACTTACATTACTGTTATATTCTAGCACTACCAGTATATACTTCCAAAATTAGTTTGCAGAAAGTTACATAAACACTGCTTAATAAATTAATATAAAATCCTTTTAATACAATATTATTGTGTACTTACTGAACATAAAGTTACAAAACTGTACATGTACATATTTGCATGTTCATCAGAACATGCAAATATGTAAGTAGATAGGAATCTGCCTTTGAAACAACACTCATTCAAGACAGATAAAAAACTACAAACATTATTTAAGATGTATCAAAAGAATATAGAAGTCAAAAACTTTGAGAAAAAAAAAATTCTACCAGGAAATGAACTCGCCCCACCCATCAAACAGGAACTCAGGACACTAGTTACCAGAAAAATTTTGACTTTTAAAGGAAAACAAGTAACCCGCACATAGAGTCAGAAATGCTATTACGAAGCTTCAGTCCGACTTGGATCATTCACAAGTCACACTGTGTATTGTTCCAGTCATTGTACTGTGCCTTTTTGTTCTTTAAAATAAAACTTTTCATCAGTGAACCTCATGAAAGACCTGGCTGGAAATTGAAATACAGTTGACCCTCAACCAACGATGGCGTCGATTAACGATAAATCCGACTAGCGATACATTTTAACGCAAAATTTTTGCCTAGGCTAGCGCTAAAAAACTCGACCAACACTATTCGTTCCGTCTGAGACACGTCCACTTCTGGCCAGTGTTTACAAACCAGCCAGCCACCGCGGTCGCTTCCAAGCATACAATTGGAACATTTCATATTATCACAGCCTTTTTAGTGATTGCACCTGCAAAATAAGTCACCATGGGCCCCAAGAAAGCTTCTAGTGCCAACCCTACAGCAAAAAGGGTGAGAATTACTATGGATATGAAGAAAGAGATCATTGCTAAGTATGAAAGTGGAGTGCGTGTCTCCAAGCTGGCCAGGTTGTACACAAAACCCCAATCAACCATCGCTACTACTGTGGCCAAGAAAACGGCAATCAAGGAAGCTGTTCTTGCCAAAGGTGCAATTATGTTTTCGAAACTGAGATCGCAAGTACTCGAAGATGTTGAGAGACTGTTATTGGTGTGGATAAATGAAAAACAGATAGCAGGAGACAGCATCTTTCAAGCGATCATATGTGAAAAGGCTAGGAAGTTGCATGACGATTTAATTAAAAAAATGCCAGCAACTAGTGGTGACGTGAGTGAATTTAAGGCCAGCAAAGGTTGGTTTGAGAGATTTAAAGGGAAGGGAAGTAACCCCAGAAAAGGACTTGCCACCTCAAGTCCTAATGGAAGGGGATTCCCCTTCTAAACACTAAGACCATCAACACTCTCCCCTCTTCCCATCCCATCAATCATCACCAGATCTTCAATAAAGATAAGTGTCATGTAACTGAGCATGTCTTCTTCAGTTTGTGTGTATTAAAATTAATATTTCATGTGGTAAAAACAATTTTTTTTTCATACTTTGGGGTGTCCTACACTGATTAATTTGATTTCCATTATTTCTTAGGGGAAAATTAACTCGACTAACGATAATTTTGACTAACGATGAGCTCTCAGGAACGGATTAATAGCGTTAGTCGAGGGTCCACTGTATATAGCAAGAAAAAAAAAGGAAAACAATGCAACAGATGAAAGAAATTCTGTTTAAAAGAAAAATGTCACCAGTGGGTCAAACAAAAATCAGCGCTTGCCCAATAATCTATCTAAATTATGTGTATTCTATGTCAAGAAAAACAAAATATCTACACTAGTTTGTGGATCATGCAAAAAATCTTATTCAGAATAAGAACTAAAAATGATTAAAACTCAACCAGACTTTGATGAGTTCAACAAATAGAGCGACAGATGAAATGATGGAATTTAGTGTAGGCAAGAGTCACGTAATGGAAATGTAAAGAACTTTTACCCAATCACAGCATTTCCGCCAAGTTCCAAAACCTTAAGTCCAATACGGCGCTGGAGTTCCCCAGAGAGCTTAAAAAAGAGAGTCTGACGTGCTTCATTGCTGGCACGAGGAGTCCGAATCTTGTCTATCCACTGATACTCTGGATCATCATTCACCACCAACTCTTCGACAAATCCGACAATATTCTGACACCTGTACCCAGCAGGAATCTCAGGAGCTGCCAAAGTAAAAATAACATTTAGAATATAGAATAAATAGCCAAATTTTGGTCTTTGCTAGAAAGTTCATGAAGTTAAAAGACGAAACTTACTAAAGAAAAACTGCACCCCACACGACGACTGACGAAATTTGTTGAAGTCTGAGAAGAGATCAACTTTAACAACGATGTTGACCTCACCACGAATCCCGTGCATAGTGTCATAAACAGGCAACCATCCAGACATGACAGCTGTTCCTGAAAATAAATTATCTACATGCATAAAGGGTGTGATAAAAGAGAAAAAGGAAGCTTATGAGAGGTTTTTACAAAGCAGAAGTGTTATAAGAAGAGCAGAGTATATGGAGAGTAAAAGAAAGGTAAAGAGAGTGGTGAGAGAGTGCAAAAGGAGAGCAGATGATAGAGTGGGAGAGGCACTGTCAAGAAATTTTATTGAAAATAAGAAAAAATTTTGGAGTGAGTTAAACAAGTTAAGAAAGCCTAGGGAAAGTATGGATTTGGCAGTTAAAAACAGAGTAGGGGAGTTAGTAGATGGGGAGATGGAGGTATTAGGTAGATGGCGAGAATATTTTGAGGAACTTTTAAATGTTAAGGAAGAAAGAGAGGCAGTAATTTCATGCACTGGTCAGGGAGGTATACCATCTTTTAGGAGTGAAGAAGAGCAGAATGTAAGTGTGGGGGAGGTACGTGAGGCATTACGTAGAATGAAAGGGGGATCATGACAGAAATGTTAAAAGCAGGGGGGGATATAGTGTTGGAGTGGTTGGTACTTTTGTTTAATAAATGTATGAAAGAGGGGAAGGTACCTAGGGATTGGCAGAGAGCATGTATAGTCCCTTTATATAAAGGGAAAGGGGACAAAAGAGACTGTAAAAATTACAGGGGAATAAGTTTACTGAGTATACCAGGAAAAGTGTACGTAGGGTTATAATTGAAAGAATTAGAGGTAAGACAGAATGTAGGATTGCAGATGAGCAAGGAGGTTTCAGAGTGGGTAGGGGATGTGTAGATCAAGTGTTTACATTGAAGCATATATGTGAACAGTATTTAGATAAAAGTAGGGAAGTTTTTATTGCATTTATGGATTTAGAAAAGGCATATGATGGAGTGGATAGAGGGGCAATGTGGCAGATGTTGCAAGTATATGGAATAGGTGGTAAGTTATTAAATGCTGTAGAGTTTTTATGAGGATAGTGAGGCTCAGGTTAGGGTGTGTAGAAGAGAGGGAGATTACTTCCCGGTAAAAGTAGGTCTTAGACAGGGATGTGTAATGTCACCATGGTTGTTTAATATATTTATAGATGGGGTAGTAAAGGAAGTAAATGCTAGGGTGTTCAGGAGAGGAGTGGGAATAAATTTTGGGGAATCAAATTCAAAATGGGAATTGACACAGTTACTTTTTGCTGATGATACTGTGCTTATGGGAGATTCTAAAGAAAAATTGCAAAGGTTAGTGGATGAGTTTTGGAATGTGTGTAAAGGTAGAAAGTTGAAAGTGAACACAGAAAAGAGTAAGGTGATGAGGGTATCAAACGATTTAGATAAAGAAAAATTGAATATCAAGTTGGGGAAGAGGAGTATGGAAGAAGTGAATGTTTTCAGATACTTAGGAGTTGACGTGTCGGCGGATGGATTTATGAAGGATGAGGTTAATCATAGAATTGATGAGGAAAAAAGGTGAGTGGTGCATTGAGGTATATGTGGAGTCAAAAAACGTTATCTATGGAGGCAAAGAAGGGAATGTATGAAAGTATAGTAGTACCAACACTCTTATATGGGTGTGAAGCTTGGGTGGTAAATGCAGCAGCGAGGAGAACGGTTGGAGGCAGTGGAGATGTCCTGTTTAAGGGCAATGTGTGTAAATATTATGCAGAAAATTCGGAGTGTGGAAATTAGGAAAAGGTGTGGAGTTAATAAAAGTATTAGTCAGAGGGCAGAAGAGGGGTTGTTGAGGTGGTTTGGTCATTTAGAGAGAATGATCAAAGTAGAATGACATGGAAAGCATATAAATCTATAGGGGAAGGAAGGAGGGGTAGGGGCCGTCCTCAAAAGGGTTGGAGAGAGGGGGTAAAGGAGGTTTTGTGGGCAAGGGGCTTGGACTTCCAGCAAGCATGCGTGAGTGTGTTAGATAGGAGTGAATGGAGACGAATGGTACTTGGGACCTGACGATCTGTTGGAGTGTGAGCAGGGTAATATTTAGTGAAGGGATTCAGGGAAACCGGTTATTTTCATATAGTCGGACTTGAGTCCTGGAAATGGGAAATACAATGCCTGCACTTTAAAGGAGGGGTTTGGGATATTGGCAGTTTGGAGGGATATGTTGTGTATCTTTATACGTACATGCTTCTAAACTGTTGTATTCTGAGCACCTCTGCAAAAACAGTGATAATGTGTGAGTGTGGTGAAAGTGTTGAATGATGATGAAAGTATTTTCTTTTTGAGGGTTTTCTTTCTTTTTTGGGTCACCCTGCCTCGGTGGGAGACGGCCGACTTGTTGAAAAAAAAAATAAATAAAAATAAAGATCTCTCTACATTACAAGAGAAAAGAGAATTTTGAAACATCACAATAGTAAGAATTGTGTAAGGAGTCAGACCCAAAAATTTGCAAGGTTCCAAATTCTTTGGGTTCCTAATTTGTAGAATTCTTTTATCCAATACTCTATGCATGACCCATACAATGGAAACTAACCACAGGATTTCATTCAAAATGTGCTTAATGACTTTCTCTTGCCCAAACCACTTTTCTTTCTGGTCATTCCCTCTATGTAAATGTCAAAATTATCCAGGTTAGAGTAATTTTAAAACACACAAAACTATAAAATAAGCATAAACATAAAACAGTAGGTAGTAGGTTGGTAGACAGCAACCGCCCAGGGAGGTACTACCGACCTGCCAAGTGAGTGTAAAACGGAAACCTGTAATTGTTTTACATGATGGAAGGATTGCTGGTGTCTTTTTTCTGTCTCATAAACATGCAAGATTTCAGGTACGTCTTGCTACTTCTACTTACACTTAGGTCACACTACACATACATGTACAAGCAAATATGCATATACACACCACTCTGGGTTTTCTTCTATTTTCTTTCTAGTTCTTTTCTTGTTTATTTCCTCTTATCTCCATGGGGAAGTGGAACAGAATTCTTCCTCTGTAAGCCATGCGTGTTGTAAGAGGCGACTAAAATGCCGGGAGCAAGGACCTAGTAACCCCTTCTCCTATATAAATTACTAAATTTAAAAAGAGAAACTTTCGTTTTTCTTTTTGGGCCACCCTGCCTTGGTGGGACACGGCCAGTTTGTTGGAAAAAAAAAAAAAAAGTCTGTTGAGTATACCTGGTAAAGTGTATAGTACAGTTATCATTGAAAGAATTAAGAATAAAACTGAGAGTAGGATAGCAGATGAACAAGGAGGCTTCAGAATGGGTAGAGGTGTGTAGACCAAGTGTTTACAGTGAAACATATACAGTGCTAGTCATGGCATTATGCCGGGTGAGCATCATGGCATAATGCTGTAGCAAAAATGAAAAGCCTACAATACAGGGGGTTCTTTTTTCGTCAGTGTATTATACTGGGTAGCAGCTGTTAGCATGACGTCACGGCCTGCCGCCACACTCCACAGTGACTCCTCAGTGTTCACGTGGCTGCCGTAGTGAGAGGAAGTGTTGCACTTTTGTCTCTCATCCGCCCCATCTTTTGTCCAGTGTTCCCTTTGGTTTTGGGGCTATACATGTTTGATTATGGGTAAAAGGAAGTCTTTAATACCTGAAACTATAGCTCAAATCATAGGGCTTTACAAAACTGGGCACTAGACGAAAAAATAGTGGAGAATATTGGTGTGTGTGTGAGCGCTCAGTGAGGAAATGGGTGCAGCATTTCAAGGCGGTAGCAGTGTCGGGTTACCATCTGCCAAACCTCGGCCTGGCCCCTCGAAAAAGACATCTGTTCATACCTTAACTGTGTTAAAGTAGTAGTTAGAGAGTACACCTAGGATAACTGCTAGAGAATTGAAAGAAAAGAACCCGTATCTTCTCTCAGAGGTGTCTGTAAGAACTGTTAATAGGTGTGTGTCAGAAATGGGCTACAGTAGTCACTGCCAGGTTAAGAAACCAATCCTCTCCAAGCCATAGACAAAACAAAGGCTGGATTATGCAAAGAAATATCTTCCCTGGAATTCTCAACAGTGGTTTGAAGTACTCAGGAGTGATGAAGCAATCTTCACTGTCATGTGTAACCGTGGGAGACATGTGTACCGGCCCAGAGGTAGTGACCGCTAGACCCATGCTACACCTGCGGGATCACCAAACACCAATGGCCTGGGGGTGTTTCAGTGCTCAGTGTGTTGGTGAACTCATTGTGCTTCCCAAAAACCACTATATGAACCAGTATAATTACCTGGAGTTATTGTGTGACAATTTACCTGAGGCGTTTGGCAAGTGTGGGGCTACGGCTTTTATGCAGGATGGTGCACCGTGTCATACCGCCAAATCTGTAGTTCAGTGGCTTAAGGACTGTGAAGCGAGGTTCTTTAATGACTGGCCAGGTAATTCCCCAGACCTAAACCCTATTGAGAACCTCTGGTCAATAGTGAAACGAAGTTTACTGGGCAAGGATATCAGTTCCGTCTTGCGGCTGGAGGCTGCTCTACATGAGGCATGGAATAATATACCTCCTCAAACCTTCAAGAATTTGTGAGATCTTCCTACATGGATGAGGGATGTGATTAACCGTAAAGAACGCAGCACCAAATATTAAAACCTCAGTGAGAAAATATATATATTATAATCTTTCATGGTATGTGTTTTTGTTTCGGTACATGTGTAGAGTTTTGCTTACAAACAAGCTGGTCATATAATAAGAGAACTGTATGGGACTTAGCTTGATGACATCTCCACATTCTGCAGCCGCGTCCAGAATGTACTTGGAGCCGACGATGTAACTGTAACCACACATGGGCTGTAAGGGGATAAGTATGATGAGTATAATTACCCCTAGGGGGTGTTGTTTCAGCATATCTCAGAAACTGATTGCTGATGATATGTACTGGTTTGGACTCAAAAGTCCACACCTCACTGCCGACTATAGGATGATTTTGAACCCCTTGTGACACGAGAACTGCGCAGTCCCATGCATAACCAGTTGGTTCAAAACCTACCTTGCTCTTGTAGCATGAGTTATGGTGTTGGCTGCACCATATTTGACAGGTACAGGTGACTTGATAGAAGCTGAAGTGTCCTTGGA